AGCATTCACAATATTAGATTTGACATACACAGCTATACCATGATGGTTCTTATTGCTAGATGTACAAGCATCATTTCTATACAAGCTAAAATCTGGTATTTCATACAATTGATCACTTTTTAGTTTTAAGTGAGTCTCAAACAATATTACAACATGCGCTTTCTTTACCACATGACTCATTTTCACATCTTCAATATACTTTTGTAAGGATCTCACATTATGATAAATGACTTTCAGGGAGTCATCATCAGTAACATAAGAATCAAATTCTTGAATTTCTAGTTTCCTCTCATTTCTCAGCGATAGCATTTCATCGTTCACCTCCATACTAATTTTGATTTTGTCTTCAGCAAGGTTTACTATATTCAAGCCTTCCAGCGTTTTAACCCGACTCAGGCCCACATAATGGATATGAGCCATTGTCATTCCTCCAAAATCAACAACCACCTTGTCAAGTGTATCACCTTGAGATCTGAGTTCTCATCAACTCTGCATTCTTAAATTGACCAATCCTTATCTTCCGGGAAATAGGTAAGATTGGAGTCAAACTTGTATTCATATTTGCTTTGTATAAATTTTTCAAATCATTTCTAGTTAGTTTACCAACCATCTTATCTTTAAATTCTACCCATACAATGTTACCTACTGCAGTACGTCTATTTGGCGCTTCAATTAACCTCACAGTTCCATCAGCACCATTTGTTAAGCCATCACCAGTTTTCACATTGATACACAATTTACATTTCATACCTATTACAAGATTCAGGTGTTTGTGCAATTGCATTGTTTTTCGTGGATCAGCTTTTTCAACTGCCCGTACTTCTGAACCGACAACACTATCTTATCACCCTAGGAACAGATCGCTTCAACGATTTGTTTGTTTCATCATCTTCATCAGAATCAGAATCATGCTCTTCAGCATTTTCTATCAGAGTTTCAAGTTTAACATTTTTAGGACGTTTGACATAACGTTTCCTTTTATCATATGATGACACAAACTGTGCTAGCGTTATGTCTTCCATTTTTCTCATTGACAATTGTAGTATTATGTTAACAGCCTCTCTGACATTATTCAGAAATTTATTTCCAATTGTTTTTACTTGCTCACGTATTCCACTATTTCCTTTTCTAACTTCATCACAAGCTTTACGTAAAATGTCACTTATACCTCTTTGCAATTTTGCTATGTAGGAAGCAATATACATTGCACAAGCATAGACATCTAACACAAATTGAATGTCATGATTTGCTTGCCAACAGTCTAATAATTTGGCATTGTAAGCATTCA